TACGAAGAACATCGTTTATTTATCCGATGCGCGAGTTGCTGTTTAAATATTTATGCTTCAAGTGAAATATACCGGTTCTGCTCAGCCCCGAAGAGCAATAGCATTTTCTGTTTACGTCAAGTTGCTTCTTCGTGTAGAGTACTGGCTAACATCTCAGTTACTTTGACACATAGTGTCTTCTGCGTAAAATATCTCGCGCGCAAAGTAAACGAAAACGAAGGCAGAGAAGTGATTGAGCCGTCACTTTTAAGCGTAAATAAATTTGCAGCTATCAGCATCTTATGCGCGGCACGTTCTATGATGCTTTTGAGAATGAGGTCACAGTATACATATATGTATGGCGAAACGATGATTGGTGTTGGTGCAGATAGAAATGACTTAATCCAATCTAGAATTTGCGCTTTACTGCTTGCTAAAGTTGTGCATACAGATGGACGATAAATCGAAACCTTATTGGCTCGTTAGTAGTTTCCTGGTTCTTCGACCCTTATCAATTTAGATACCAGTCTCGATAAGTTTGTACAGTCTATTAAAAAAGCGAGTTGTGTTATTTAAATTTTTGGATGATATCGAGTATAACGAATAGAAACAATCGCTTTAATCGCCATGAGATCAATATAATAAATTTTGTGTTCAGTTCAGCAAACGAGAAATATCGATCGGGCCTTAAGGTATCAGCTGACATTTGACCTAAATTGCAACCTGTTTCCGATGATGGTCAAAAGGATACTTTTGTGATCGACGCGTTTTACCATTTATCAATTTTAGTTGGCAATATATTTAAAAAGAAACATTAAAAATTCGCAAAATTATTTTGTTGTATGTTTATTAATTAAGCAATTGTTTAGATAAAGAAATTTAGATTATTTAAAGTTATTTATTGTGTGTTTTAAGATTAACAAATATTTTATGTGTGAGATAAGACTGTTCCTCTCTCATATAGCTTTCTTTATTGAAGTCAGTTAATATATGCATGTTCATATTTTATGATATTATGGAATGAACCTATATGGAGTTGTCATTTTTCTCCAACTCAAACTTCTTTTCAGATAGATAGGCCGTAACTTTCAACCCATATATCGCGATAGTTTGATTTGTGATCGCAATTTAAAATTTTTTTGGTTCCGGCTGCTTAAAATGATATGGGCCGCCTTTATAAAAGGTCTGAAAGATCGGTGCTCGTAAAACAGTTGTTTGCTGTGGAAACGAAGAACGGGGTTCTAGATAACTTCCTCGCTCTCGTGTGGGTCAAAATGAAGGCAGCTGCGGACATGAATTTACGATACTACTAGGCCGGGCCGGTAGAGTTGCCTCTCGTTGCTCTCTTACTTCGCAGCATGATGAACGTAGTCTCGAACAACATCTTCTACTTTCGTGAAGCTACGCTGTTACGCAAGTTTTACGATGACTGCGATTGAAGAATCTTCAGAAAATACATAAAGTTTTCTTATTTAGATGTTAAAATAAAATATTGAGGCGTTAGATCAAAAATAATAAAAATTTTGAATTTCAAGTCAAACAATAAGTTTAATTATTATTGGATATATATATATATATATA